CAGCTAAGTTTATTATTAAGATCGCCGCCTCCGTTGCGTGACAAAAGGTTGGAGACTTGCTTGTGTGACTTTATCCTCTTAGAGCGCGCTCTCCCCGCTTAGCCAGCAAATACTCTGCGGCTGAGGAGACACGGGGAAGGTAAAGGGATAGGGCTGTCCAATCAATCCCATATTAAACTTGAGCGGAAGGCGCGTGCTGGAGTGCACCTCAGTTCTATTTTTTTCTCTCAGTGCAGAGCACAAAGTCCTCCCTCCCTCCTTCCCTCCTCCCTCTTCCCTGCAGCGTCTCTGCCACAAACAGAAGAGAGGGAGTGAGACAGATTACATACAACTGCGCGCTGCCAGTCCGCGCACAGCAGCCAAGCAGTCCAAAGCAACTGAATGAGGGCTTACTCGAGCTGCTGTAGTTGGATATTGTCTATGTCTAACAATGCTTCCTGATCCATTGAGAATCTTGAAAAAGGAACCTTTTATGTATTTCTTCATTCTGGAATGAACCGTCTGCTCTCCTCTCGGTGTAACAACGTGCAACACTTACACGGCTTGACCTAAATCCATATTTATCTGCTGTAAAATACCGAGGAATTATATAAAAATAGGACTATGCATAAAGTTTTTAGTCATCATGTCATCACACTTCTGGCGCATCCCTCTGTTCTGACCCCCTTCTACCGGTTAAGCATCTCTTCCAAAGTGCATGCGTAAAAAAGTGCGGCTTCCATGTGCCCCCTTCTCTGGGAGAGAAACCGGGGTCTCTGTTATTTCACGTCACGTTGTCTGAGAGGAGGAACTTGAAATGTGCGACGAGACGAGCCGAGAAGGGAGGGAGGCGGGCAAGGCAAAAAAAAAAAAAAAAAAAAAAAAACAGAAAAGAGGAGGGGGTGCAGGGAAAAGAGAAGAGGAGGAAGGGGCGAAAAGAAATGAAATCAAACGGAGAGCGAGGGAGTAGAGCGCTTGCGCAAAAAAGAATCAAAAACAGAATTTGAGTCACAGCATATAAATCTGTTCACGGTTAAAGGATTTTAATGCTCTACTGAAAAGTACATTAATGTAAAGCAGCAACAAAGCTCAGCAGATGTAGTAAGGCAGCGCACTGACTAAATAATTATTTTATACTGATGTAAATTTCAGCGTTTTGCATCAACTTTTCTTTTTAAGTCACTCAAATTCCAAGTTGTAATCCTCATTGCTTCGTCCACTGATGCTTGTTTGCCGTGTCGTGGTGCCTCATTAATCGGTTGTGGCAGAGACACTTTTGGCAACGTTCCCCACTCCACTGCCACGGTCACGCAGGGTCCTCAACTTCCCTTCTTCAGGTCTGCAAGTCAACATTATTTCACAGAAGTATTATCAGGGGCGCCACCAAGGGGGGGCTGGTGGGTGCCATGTGTATGTTGGAGCTTGAAAACCTAACAGTTTGTTAGATGTTTAAATAAACATAATTTGTTTTTTGTTTTTTTAATTCCAGCACCACATCATACTGCTTTCGCTGTTGGTTTTGTTGTCCTGTCCTAAGGTTATAACCGACCCCCATTTAGCCACCCCTTAAAATGCCTCCAAGCTTCCTGACTAGTGTTATTTGTCTTAAAAGGAAAAAACAATGGAGAAAAGAGCAATTATGTTATTTGTTTTTATATTGTATGATTTGTTGTTCTTGCAGCCCAGACAGTTACGGGCAGAGGCAATGACCATTCCTACAAATTAACAGTTCTATGTGCACATTTCTGTTCATTCTTTTGAAAAGAGAAATATGCCTTATTTAACTGCAATTTATTTATTAATTTATTTCTGAAATCATGGATGCTAAATTAGGCAGCGGGGCTAGAGATAACATGTAATAATCTATGGATCCTTATAGACCACAGACTATTAGGATAACTTTTTATAATATATTTTCAGTGGACTTAAAATTAATGTTTCACCAAATAAATCTAGATAAATAAAACATTACATGATGGTGTGGCATTCCTTCATTATTATTTTCTCCTATCTGGCCACTCATTCAAAACTGTTAGGATGAACCTCTATTATTATTTTTTTTTACTACTTTTTAAAGATCCTTAAGAGAAAACACAAAAGCAGGTTTTGTTGTGTTGATTTAGTTCTGCGATTCTCCACGTGGGCAATGGCCACCCTGATGAATTTTCTAAGCACTTCCTGGTCAGACTGCTTTACATGCATCCGTTTTTTGTGTGTATGCATTTCAGAAAGGAATGATATTTGATGAATTGTAACGTGTTAATTTTAATATGTTTCACTTTTCGTCTGAAAACGCTGTTTTCAATGTCTGTCGGTCTCTCCTGACTCCAGTCAAATGGTATTTGGACCGCAAATAGGCAAAATAAAGGGAGAGCTACAGCATTTTAAAATCATACGTGCCGAAATAATTTACTGTAAAATTCTGCTCCGGCGTTTTTGTTTTGGTGTGCCACCCCTAGATGGTCCCCCATCTGGCCATCCCTCAGAAAACTTCCAGACGGCGCCTGTGATTATTATTATCCTCTATAAAGATCAGTTGGAAAGTAAGAAAAATATATTCATAATAATAATAATAATAATAAACACTAAAGAAACTTTCTCGTGATAAATGTTTTGTACAGTTTACCGCTAATCTCCAAAGCTGCCGTCCTCTAACTTGCTTTCCAAATATTCCCACACATAATGCGCGCGCACGCTCTCTCTCTCTCTCTCTCTCTCTCTCTCTCTCTCTCTCTCTCTCTCTCTCTCTCTTTCGCTCTCTCTCTCTCTGTCTCTTACCCTGGTACACTCACGCACAAACACACACACACACATACGCACACACACACAATCAAGATACTAAGATGGCGCCTAATCAGTGTCAAGTTCAAGTGACTCCCACAAGTCTAATGCAAAAAGCATTTCACACCGTGTCTGCTGTACAGAATGCAGCGTGCAGAAACAACGTGGTGCTAATAATAATAATAATAATAATAATAATAATAATAATAATAATAATAATAATAATCAAGGTGGCAGTCCGAGAGTCGCTTTTTTCATAATGTTTGTTTTTAATTTCAATCAAAATTTCCGTTCACATTTGTTCATAAATAGTTGGCAGAACAAACCAACCAACATACAGTAGCCTAAAAAGTACAAGGAAACGTCTGACTCTAGGTAGGCTCTAAGCGCGTATAGGCCTGTTTGTTGTAACATAGTTTGCCTCGATGTGGCACAGTGACACAGTTCATCAGTGATACAGTTTTGCTCTTCAGGAATAACTCGGAGTGTGACCCATTTTTTTCCCTCCCACAAAGTGTTACAACATCACATTCTAGCTGTGTTTTTATACATCAGATATTTTCCTCCGACCTCTGGACATGGGGGCAGGAAGGTGGCGGGAATAAGAAAATGTACTTCTTTTTTTAAATTAAGGTATAGAAAATAGCATATAAAACATATACTCCTTAAATTATTTAAATAAAGTCATTTCATATATCACTGTCAAGAGGTACCGTTTCACTTTTTTACATTTTATTTTTTTAAAAGTAGTGCTGGTGGTCTGAAAATTGTTCTCGTAAGAGTACAATATACTTTGTGTATGCATAATATTTAATTCTTGAGAATAGGTTACAATGCAATGCTGTAACTCTTTTTGTCGCCACTGAACGTGTTCTCCCTCCAATTTCCCTTCCACTATTTTTTTTTGTTAAACACAACAAAAAGAAAAAAGGTCATCTTGACAAGTTATTCACACAAAAAACAAGCAAAAATGTGTAATCAAAACTGCTCTATATGCAACACCACAACAAATAACACGATTTAGTTTCACAGAAGAGTTACATTTAAAACAATGCAAGCTGACAGACAAAAAAAAAACATAACTTATTTTATTTTTGAAGATACTGTATCGTGACAGTTCAATTGTTGCCGATGCAGACATTTAAACAGAGGCTACTTCGCACAAAGACATTTGCTGGAACTATAAAGTTTGCCATACAGGCGTATTTTTTCGGGTGCTTGACCCCCTCAAATTGAAATGAATACTGAAAAATACTCGATTTGGATAATCATGAACTGCGCACAACTCGTCTAAGATCTGTATATATAGGAGTGGAATAGGCTGATGGGTTCATTCTTTTTTAAAATCTTATTTTCTCCTCTAAGATTTGACATCTATTGCTGATCCTATAAAAAAAAAAAATCCACAAAAAAGTTTAAACTGAACCAAATATATAAAAAGAACCGCTTGGAAGCGTTTCAGCTCAACTGAACTCAGTTCTAGACAGTCAATGTTTTTTTTTTTTTCATACATGTCAATGGTCTCATAAGGAAATAAAAGTGACTGAAATATCTGCAATATATATAGACAAATCCATAATATTCATATAGATGTTTTTTTTTTCTATTCGGTCCAAATAAGACACATGTAGGCCTATTTCTGTTAAGAAGAGGAAAACAGAAGGATACAATCGCGATGTTGGAGCTTAAAGAAGAGTTTATCATTTGTTCAATGTTAAGCTGGTTATGACCAAAAACTGTACAGATCTTGTTAGAAAAAACATTTCCATAAATATCATTTAAGTTTCAGAACTTATACCCATAATTAAATTACAAATCGATAAATATGGCATCATGGATATGTATTTACAACGGTATAAACAAAAGGCAACGTTATATTCAACGGTAACAATCGTAAACCTAATACCACATGTCTCCACCTGAAAACGGACGTTGACAACAGATGCGACCCCATCAAACAAGGAAAAAAATACATTCACGAGTATAATATTTATTTAGGATTTTCAGTTTTTTTTTTGTTTGTTTTTTCTGTTTTTTAAATCTGCGTTCAAGTTCATGACAAAGACTTTGGCACGTTTCTTAAGACTGTTTTTGAAGTTTCAACAATCAATCGAAGGAGGCGACGTTACCGTCATATAAAACAGCGTGAAATAATCTTTCATTTTTTTCATTACTTTTTTTTTCTTACTTAAATAAAAATTTGAGAAAATACATAAAATGAAAAAAAAAACAAGCTTTCTGAAATCTGTAAACTAAAAGATTAAAAATAAAAAGAAAAAAAATTGTAATCAGAAAGTTTATTTAGTCGTGGATGATTTGTTTTAAAACTGCGGAATAAAGTCATTTTTTCCGTGATCCTGAGAACGGACGTGGCCTGCTTGGTGCTGGCTTTTGCTCTCATCTCCATGTTGTTGTTGTTCCAGTCCCATTTGTTTGTATGCGTGTGTGTGTGTGTGTGTGTGTGTGTGAGAGAGAGAGAGAGAGGGGGGGGGGGGGGGGGTGTGCGCGCAAGAGTGTGTATGGGAGAGAAAATGGTTTTATTTTAAGTCACTCCTCGTTCATCTTCATGGTCCAAACTGCAGGGAGAGGCTCCACTCCTCACGACTTCAAACATACCACTCGTTAAAGTTGGGCGGCAGTCCTTCACTGTGACCAGGCGTGTTTTGCACGGCTGACGGCGGTGTTTTTGTCGGGTCCTCGGTGCTCGCTGAGACCAGCACCGGTGGAGTGGCCGATTCATATCCGGAGCTCGCTGCCGGGGAAGATTCCGAACCTTGAGACTCATGTACCTAAATAAAATAAAAACAAATAAATGAACACAAGGATAGATAGTGTAATTGCATACACATGCCCCCTAACCCCGACCCCCCCTTTCCACACACACGCACAGATACGTACAAGTAAATGCGACTGGAACAACTAATAATATCCACGTTCAAAGGTGGACTGTTTTTGAAATATTGAGGTAAACATATTCATTTAAACCTGAAATATAAATTCGAATAATGAGAAGATATTTTCTCTGTTAAGCACAACTTAGTTCTAAGTATTTACTCGTTGGCATCATATTTGTTTACACTCTTTTTTCCCCCAGCAATCAGATCTTAAGCAATGCCTCAAGTTGTGTCTGTGGCAGAGGAATGGGGGGTTGAAGTGGTGGTGGTGGAGCGTGTGTGTGTGTGTGTGTGTGTGCGTGCGTGTGTGTGTGTTAATGTGTTTAAGGAGTAATGAAGACGTTAATTACCTTCATGTGTTTCCTGAGAGAGCTGGGGTGTGTGTAGGACTTGTCGCACACTTTGCAGATGTATGGCTTGTCTGACGTGTGCACATGCATGTGCTTTTTCCTGTCGCTGCTGTTGGCGAAGCGTCTGTCGCAGCCGTCAAATTCACACTTAAACGGCTTCTCACCTGCGGGATTAAACAAACCCACAGCACACCGTGAATCACGACTGCAACACACAAACAAACAAACACACAAAAAAATTTCAACCCCCCGATTGTAACACCCACTTGAAGAAAAAAAAACAAACAACCCCAGACTGAGTAACGGTCTGCAGACTATTATATAACAGGGTAACCTACATTTATTCGGCGAGACATGGATACGAGCTCCACTACTACACTCTGCTGCTCTGTCAGGCTTTATTTATTCAAGAGGCCTGGTCCCCCCTTCATTCAACTCAACTGTAGTCAACAATGAATCAACAGGGCAGCGTGCAACGGCCGAGCAACAATTATTAACACAGTTAGAAATTGATTAGTTGTCTGCTGCCTTGGTAGTCTGACAAGCGAGCACAGAATCTTAATGAATCACACCAAACTTCCCGTCTCGAAACCATGCATGCGCATCGAGCAGCGTTTAGCAGCACAGCAAAGTTGCTGAAGGAGTTGTTTATGTAATTTTTGAGCTTGCAGTCGGTTTATGTAATTATTATTATTTTTAAAATGCAGCAACTGTTTGGAAGCTGCTGAGGGCATGAGGCGTGGAGCAAAGTTTGCAAATGGTTTTTGGTAAACAACAAAAGCATGCTGCTATATAACGGCTGAACACACACATTTACTACCCGGGAATGACCCCTTGATTCTGGTATGCGAAATAAAACTCTCTGGTTCTTACCTGTGTGCGTTCTTTTGTGGATTTTCAGATTTTCCGACCGGGCAAATATTTTCCCACATCCAGGGAACGGGCACGGGAACGGCTTCTCGCCCGTGTGCACGCGGATGTGGTTGACGAGTTTGTACTTGGCCTTAAAGGACTTGCCCTCCCTCGGGCAGTCCTCCCAGAAGCAGACGTGGTTGCTCTGCTCGGGGCCGCCGACGTGCTCCATGGACACATGCGTGACCATCTCGTGCATGGTACTGAACGTCCTGTCGCACGTCTTTTTGGGTCTATTCATCTGGTTCTCGTCTATCCATTTGCAGGACAGCTCTTGCTTGATCGGCTGCCGCATGTATCTGAAGAAGGCCCCCGGACCGTGGTGCGTCGGCACGTTCATGCCCATGTTCATGTTGATCGGGTGGTTGTAGTTGTGCAGCTGAGCACCGTACGGGTCCGTCCGGGGGCTCGCCACCGGCCGGTACGGGTCTGGTCTTCCGAAAATGTCCCCGCGTAAGCCGAGGTGCATCTGGCTGTTTACAACGTGTCCGCTCGGAGAAGTGTGGCTCACTCCCTGGTCGTGAAGTCCAGGGAACAACAAATGTCCAGGGTTGTCGGGGATCCCGGGCGGCCCGTGCAGACTC